CAAATTGAAATAGCCAATAGGAATCTAGCAATGCATTGCAATGGGCAAAATTTTTTTTTTTTTCTATTCTGACATCGCTCCGTGTTAGAATAAGGAAAAAAAAAGAAAAAGCAGTGTTTCTCTCCTGGGCGGCCGGGAGCGGGAGGCTCCAAGAGCGCCCGGGAGAGTTTTTTTTTCGTTTTTTTTTTACGGCAGCAGAGCCGCCGGACAATAGAAAACTATTGGGCGGCGCTAGCTGTCATTGCTAGCTCTGCCCAATCGTTTTCTATTTACTTTTTTAAAACTTTTAAAACTTTTTTTCTGTTCTGCTCGGCCCCTCTGAGGGACCGAGCAGAACAGCCGAGCCGAATGCCGCTCAGCGGCCGACCCGAAGCCATGCGATATACGGCTGAAATCAGCTGTACCAGCCTGAAGTGAATAGCCGAACAGTGTTCGGCTCACTTCACTTCAGGACGGTCATTCACTCGGCTGCCTACGGCAGCTTAGTGAATAGACCCCTAAGTATCAAAGCCCCTGTAAATAAAAAAAACTCCTTAGTTAACCCTAGTTTAAAAAATTAAATGTAAAAATCAAAACAATTTAAAGAAAGGATAAAAGTTTTTAAAAAATAAAAAAAAATAAGTTTACTATAAAAATTATAAGAAAATATAGTGCCAAGGAGACTATTGAAGTTAGGAGACAAACATACCACATTCTAAAATTGTTCCAAACTAAAATTGTATTTTACTCCTTGCATTTTGTGACCTATAAAACCCAGACATATGATATACCCTAAGTCAGGACAAATAAAATAATTTTTATGAATTACTTTCTGTTAGATACACTTAATTTTCGCCAAAACTGTGAATTTTTTTTTCTTTTCATTTTTTATTCAAAAAATAAGAATTTATATATGCATATGTCACATCAAATGAAAGCCCATTTTATCCTTTAAAACTGTATATAATATGTGTAGGTACAATAATCGAGGAAGGTGGAAAATGTGGTTTAATAAACACATAGCAAAAATGCCAAAATTGCTCCGGCCCCCAGGAACGAAAACATTTTGTGAAACTGTGTCACTAAGGGGTTATCACACGTTTATGTTTGAACTCGTTTTTAATCAGTTAAATAGGAAATACTGCATATGAATACTTTTTATTTATCTTCTGCAATAAGCAGGTCATGAGCTTTTAGCTCAGATAACAGACACTGTTATCTGAAATAAACCTGAATAACAGAGAGATCAGATTGCACACAGTGCACAAATACACATGGTGGAGGGACAACGCAATTTCTCTTCTCTCCTAGTAGAATTAAGCCATTCAGACTTGTCTAAATTACTCAGTTACACACGTGTGCCCCCAAGCATGCATGATTTCCAGTTTATAATGAATATAGTATTGAACCATGTGTACACTTACATATAACAGTTAAGTAAGGTGTTACAATATAACATTGATATAAATGTATTTCATATATGTGAATAAGGATATTTCTCAAAGACTATGAAAATCTCAAAAATACTTTTAACATTTTATCGTAAGCATTGCCCATATACTGCTCAGTGTGCAATCCATTCATCCAAATGTATGATTAACACTTTTCATATTGTCAGGTTTTTCATATCTTCCAGCTGCTTACATAAAAGTTTATCTACTAGAGAATGGTCTGTGCATCGCTAAGAAGAAAACAAAGATTGCTCGAAAATCATTAGATCCTTTGTACAATCAAGTGCTTGTATTTTCAGAGAGTCCTCAAGGGAAAGTATTACAGGTGAGGAAAAAAACCCTCAAATCTGTTATCCGGTATTCAACTAACCAGAACGCTCATCTAACCAGAAACAAATTCCCCTGTGTACTCACTGTTCTGCTGATGTATTATCCTGGAAACGATTGTGTGTCTAATTGTCCTAATTTTAAATAGTGAATTTCAATATTAATATGAATCCAATACAGAGTTTATGGTATGGTATGGTATAGTATAGTAGGGGGTATGGCATTAGTTAGACCTATTTTTAATAGTAACTCTCAAGCAACCAGAAACTACATTTATCCAGAATCTACCAATCCCCGTGAATGCCAGGTAATGGGGAATTTACTGTATTTAGGTTAAAGATGAACTCCAGGCAGATATTAATGTCACAAATCAATGTAACCCTGCATTATTAGTACATCATTAGATGTATATTTTAAATGTAAGCAGTGTAAGTACCTGAATTTGACTTGACATCAGCCTCTTCCAGTCCACTGTACAGTAGAGCTCAGACTGGGAGAGGAAAACAACAGCATAAGGAGCCAGACAACTCTGCTGCAGTGTTTATCTGCTAACATGGAGCATGTTAATAGTATAAGAGAGCACAAAGACAAAGAGATGAGCTCATCAGTCTGCTGCTTCTCCCTTTAATGCTCACAGACTGGGGGAGGGACAAGAACTGTACGCCCTCGTTCACACCTGAACGTTTTGTAGCGCGTTCTACGCTCGACGAACGCTCTACAAAACGCTCAAAAATATAAATCCCATTGTATTCAATGGTCTCGTTCCCACCTTGGCGTATTTCCGCCCGTCCCTAACGCGCTACAAAACGGCCCACGCCTGAAAAGGTACAGGTACTACTTTGGGCCATTTTGTTGCATGGTTTCAAATATTGACAGGCCATACATTAAGATGAATAAAAAAGCTGTTCTTTCCACCTGCTCCTCACTGCTTACAGAAGTTCCAGTTCCTAGTTTCAGAATCTTGCTATTGAATGAGGACCACTGGAATAGTTTCCTGATCACTATGTCAACCAATCATAGTTGGGTTTGTGTACAAAACAAACATTAGTTGCTGTTGTTGTGAACATTGCAAACCAACTGTGGCTGTTGAAATAAACTGTGGACCTTATATGTCCTTCAAAATCATTTAAACTAGGGATGCACCGATACCGTTATTTTGGTACTGAGTACGAGTACCGATCATTTTTTTCCGGTACTCGCTGATACCAATTACCGAGTAACGGAAGTCCCATTCAGGAAGCCAGGTGGCAAGTAATGAAATAGGGCCGGACTGTATAGCACCTGACCCCCTCCCTGTGAATCATTCTAACAAGTTTTTTGTAAGTTTCTGTGTTCATATTCAGCAACTGCATATGACAGCTTCATGTATACATGATGTACTTTGCTGGCATATGTTTTTTTTTTAATATCTCCGCAAAGTTGGAAATGGGCTTTAAAGGAAACAAAAAAAGGGCAGCACCTTCTCCTCGTGAAGTGTATCAAATTTCTTAAATTAGTAAAATGATGAAAACTACTCACAAATGGAGTTAATCATAAAAGTGTGTATGTACTGGTATCCCGCATACAATTATCACATCATGGGCTCTAAAAGAACCAAAAAGCTTTGCACTTAACCATTGTGAAACAGAGCAGAGCCTTCTTAAAACAGAAATTAACTGCATATCTCACTTCCATCACAAATCCCCCCAAAAAATGAATAGGATAGTGGGTAACCATCAATCACTCCTTTATGACACCAGGCATTAGATGCTTCCAGAACTACTGGATAACTTAACTCAAAAAAGTTAAGACAATTGATATTACTTTCCTCAAAGTGATCATGTAAATACAGATAAATACATTAAAAGATTATAGATTTTCTTTAATAACCAGTTTTAATACTCATCTAACATTCACGGTTTAATAACACTAATTCTGTGTGTTTTGAAGGTAATGGTTTGGGGAAATTATGGAAGGATGGAGCGGAAGCATTTTATGGGAGTTGCAAGAATACTTCTGGAAGAGTTGGATTTATCAAGCATGGTTATCGGCTGGTACAAGTTATTCCCGACCTCTTCAATGGTTGATCCATCAACAGGTCCACTTCTCCGTCAAGCTTCACAACTTTCTTTGGAAAGCACTGTGGGACCATGCTGTGAGAGATCTTAATTATTACAAAACAAGACCTTTTGACTTTTTTGTAACCGTTGCTAAGGCTTTGTTTGGATATCTGACCTCAAACATCTTGCATGTTTGACCAGTTTTCTGGAACCTGAGCTCAACCAAACAACCTTCCAAAAGGAGAAAGGGTGGTTTCTTTCGGTGTATGAAAGTAACCTTGGGTGACTATCCTGGGTGTACAATCGTACAAATACCTCTATTCTCACTTTGTTTGATGTCTTGTTTATTCCTAAAGCTGAGAGTGAAAATTGTTCAAAGTTGCAGTATCTTTTAAACAGAAGGGTATTTTCTTAACTTTGGATCGAGAACTTTTTAACATTCCTAGAAGAATATATGTGGACGTGGTAAAATGACTATCTAATAGAAGGAACTGCAACTTATCTTGGGAATAATATTTTATTTATGTGTAACATTATATCTTTGTGCTTTTCAAACTGTGCCAATCTACCAGGAAGTGTCTTTTACTACTTGGCCAATGCAGTTGATAATTCATTTTGGGAAGGAAATATATAAATGAAATAGAGTAGGTAATGAAATAGATAGTATTAATTTGATCAGGGAAGCACTTTATTGTTAAAGTGCTGTTGACCAATATAAATTTAAGCCATTGTATACCAGCATTTAGTTTCATGACATAGTTCATCGCATACAAACTATGTACATTTTTGCGCATGTGTTTAGTACTAAATTCTATTTGACAATACATATGCTTTAAATTGCCTGTTACCATAATAGAAAAACGTTTGAAATAATGAAGGCGACTTCAAAAATAATTTTATTTAGGACAGCGGTGACAGTGTTAGGATAGCTGAATTAAGTTAAAAATAATTACAGTATTGGAAAATTATTAATATGTAAAAATAATAATTCAGTAATATGGTAGAAAAATGTATGAACTGCATAACTTCCCTAAAAAAATTACGTTAGCGTACATATGGCAAAGAAACCCTGATTTAAAGCCTCACATCACAGAGGTAATTAGCGCACAGTATGGTAAGAATGCTTTATATACCATAATTTTAAAAAAGGCAAAAAACTTGCTTATCAAGCAAAAAATTATAAAGAGTATAGAATCTATTCTTATGTGTTTTGCTGCTGTTTTTAAATCATCCCAATACCAAAACAGAGATGATTTATGAGAAAATAATATTTATATTATATAAGTGTACATAGATTTCAGAACGTATGTCGTTAGACATATTGTCAGTTTGAGCATTTTGTCATGCATTCGAACACTTTAGCAAACATATGCGTAAGGCCTGGTTAGTTCAGCATGTTTTATTGTATATGTAGTGGAGGGTTACGCCTTTTGATTCCACTCATGTTTACTTGTATATATGTTATGTTTGCAAATATTTTAAATGTAGCCTTGCATACAAAATGATTTGTTGTTGAAATAAGAGGAACTGTGAGCTATAGTTATCACAAAGTCATCAATGAGTTCTATCAATTGCTAATATAGCCATATTTTAACTATTTTTTTATATTATGTATTTTTTAAATATATTTGCATTTAGAGCATAAATGTACTCTCGGTCGACTCATCTTGTGCTAGCAAACCTGTTTTGACACTTCAGTTTAGAATAAGGTGTTCTAGTTGATATGTGAAGAATGAGAGAGACCTATTCACTAAGAAATAAAAGCTGTCTTCAGTATGTTTAATTAATTCACATGTTTCTGAACATGTGGGCAACAGTCAAAAATAATACTTGTGGGCTTTTTTTGTGTTAACAGTTTTAATGACTGCTTAGTCACCTTCCCAATCTAAAGGCCTAGCAGGTCTATAGTCATTTTTTACAACTTGTGTTAATTGCCAAAGCTGCCAGGTTACAACTGACTAATAAGTCATGAATAGCAAAAAAAAGTGTCACTGCACACAGACTGAATGATATTAATTGGTTGTACTTTTCTATGTCTTACAATTTCTTCATTTTACTGTTCTCATCCTCTATAAACGGTAATCTCTTTGCGAACTTTTAAGACAATAAGAGCATGAAGACTGAAGACTGAAAAATGATATTTTACTTCCCAGATTTGTTATTAGTAGATGGAGCTTTTGTATTATGCCTAATTGACTAGAAGTGCCAAATGTTCCATTTTCTTTTTATAAGCTTTAATAATATAAAAACAATCAAAATATGAAATGGTTTTGTCAAACTAACAGACTTATTAATTCCAATTTAAAAACGATAAGGATTTTGTTATAAATCCTTATTCTTCAGGTAATGCTATTATACTTAGAGCGTAGAATGTTTGCTTATCAAGGTGAATAATTACTAAAGGCATTGCTCACTGCAATCCTTCTATCATTTGCAAGCAAAAGCCCTGCTTTTTTTTTATTTTACTTGCACATAATTGGGTATTTAAAGTAATCACAGCTTCACTGTATTCACTTAGCTAAGTAATCCTTCACTTTGCTAAGTAAACGGTTTCTACTCATTTAGTAAAGCAATCCAAATTACATTATGTATTAAAGCTACAGTAAATTTACATTATTTAGGAAAAAATTACTTTGATTTAGTTCCATTTAAAATTCTGAACTTCTTTAATCCTCAAATCCCATTCATATTGGTGCAATTTAGAGGATGAGAGCATACATCTGATTCGTTTTTTATAAATTTAGTTTCCTTAATAACCTGTACCTCAGCTGCGGATCATATGTCCAAGTCCCTAGTTATACAGTTTTGCATGTACATTCCATATACACTATCAACTTCCACTACAGAGAAATTCATATTTTAAGACCATAGAAAATTTGCCAGTTGATAACTTAAAGAGACAATAAGCTCAGGGGTTAAACCTTAAAATGCATTCAAGTACCTTAGCCATTCACTAAAATGTAGCTTATTTGTGCATTGCTCGCTGTAGATCCTCAAATCATCTCTGAATTCATGATGACGCTGTCCTTCCTTCTGGAGGGTGGCTACTTTTGTTCCCCTTGGCCTTGTGTGTGTTGTAAAGTAGTCATCGCCCCAACCTTGCTCCTGTGATGGACTACAATCTAACCTTTAGTTAACTAATTTGTATTGTGACTGTAATCAATCACGGGAGTGAGCTTGGAGCAGTGGCTACTTTACAACACACACAGGGAACATGGGGAACAAAAGTATCCACCCTCCAGAAGGAAGGACAGTGTCAGCATGAATTCAGAGATGATTTGATGATCTACAGCTGAGTGATACCAAAATAACATACATAGGTAAGGTACTTGAATGCATTTTTAAGTTTAAATTCCTGAGTTTAGTGTCACTAACAAAGCTTCCATGTACAGAATATGTACATGGGTATTTTGGCTACACACAACCTTTTTTTTTAGCATTTCACTAATTTAAAAAAATTGAATGCTTGATTTGAAACAGTGCAATTCTTGATCAATTTATGGTATGCCCTAAAGGTGGGTACCAATATTACACAAATAATACTGCCTCACTTTTGCTCTTAATTGCCTTTTTATGATGCCATAGCATGTTCTATTATGTTAGCACTAATTGTGTGCTAAAGTTTGCCTCATAAGTCCACTTAATACTATTAAGGAATTGAAAAGTTATTCTTAAACTTTCTGTTCCAATCTTCCTCAAGGTACTTTGCAAAGCAATAATGATACTTTTTAGTACAAGAAATAACCCTGTAAGTAAGCTGTACATTTTAACACATTATATATATATATATATATATATACACACACACATACTACTTCTGGCCTGTCTGTGTCACTCTAAATGACCCATGTGTTTAAAGTGACACTAAACTCTTAAAAATGCATTAAAGTACCCTATTAACAAAAATGTATCTTATTTCTATATCACTCAGCTGTAGAGCCTCAAATCAACTCTGAACTAGTGCTGACGTTGTCCTTCCTGCTGGGAGGGTGACTACCTTTGTTTCCCATGGTTCCTATATGTGTTCTAAAAGAAGCCACCACTCCAAGCTCGCTCCCATGATGGACTACAATCTCATGTTTAGTTTACTAATTTATATTGAAATGATAGTCTAGCAAAGGTGAGCTTGGCTCACTGGCTACTTTACAACACACACAGGGACCATGGGGAACCAAAGTAGCCACCCTCCAGACGGAAGGACAGTGGCAGCACCAATTCAGAGATGATTTGAGGATCTACAGCTGAGTAATACACAAATAAGCTACATTTTTGTTACTAGGGTACTTGAATGAATAAGATTTAACTCCTGGGTTTAGTGTCACTTTAAGGACATATCAACTCAATCGGTAGAAAGAGTTGGGTTGAATCTCCAACTGACTTGCTTTATCTCTGATACTTCAGGAACAATATCAACCAGCTATGGTTTCTGTTTCTTTCATTGCCATGCCTGTTACAAGGCTGACACACTTTTGAAGTCTTTTTCAGCCTTATTAATGTTACAGAAAATAAAATATGTGACACACTCATGGGCCTTTGTAATAGCCATGGAAGAGGGTAGAACAGGAACTCTAGCAAAATTAAAGCGATCTTCCATCAAAGAAAGTGCTATGACAACCTAGTGGATGATTTAGCCCAATGGTGTCCACCCAAGATGGAATATTAGTTGTAGAAATACTTGGTCTACAAATACAGAAAGATATGAAGCAGCTGAAAAGTTTTAGACAACTCCTTTAAATTCATACAGTAAGCTTGTAGCTTTGTTTTCATTCTACAATATAAAATACTCACCAGTTACAGTAGGCTAAGGCAAATGGTCCCTCTATTTCTAAAGAATTACAAGTTACAACGTGCTGCTTTAGAGCCATAGTTTTCCTCTGCCAACTCCACAGCTTTGACGGGTCATATTTTATGAGCAGGCCAAATTTAACAAATAGTTTCAATTATTTATGCATGCAAATTTTATTGCCTTTGGAATGTCTATTTTAGTGTACATTACCGTTAACTTCTCAGTAATTAGAAGCTACATTATTTGTTGCATTAATATATTATAATGCAGAACCAATGTGAGGGCCTCAAACAGTTGCTTTTCAGATAAGCAACACATTTATT